TGGGTCATTCTCCCCTTGGTCAACACCACTAATTGGCCAGGTTTCAACCTCCAGATTATTGAAATTGAACAAAACCCTAACCTTATTCATCAGATCGGAGCTCTGGCATATGAACTCACTCGACCCCAATTCCACGACTCCATTCGTCGACGGAATACAAACCACCGTCTGCAACCCGAAAACCTGACCCTGACGGGCTCGTTCACAGAACGAGCCCGCAAGCCGATCCGAACCCGCAACCCAAATAGGGTTTGAGTCGAAAAACGCCTGTCCCGGTAAACCGACGCCGGAGACGAACGACTGAGTCATCGACACCAAGAAGAACCACTCGGTATCGGTGACAACCTCGTCGACGGCGTCGTCTTCAGAGGTAGGTGAACCAGAAATGAGAGAATTGAGCTCGCGAAGGACTTTCTTACGGTACTCCTGCTCTGATTTTGAGGTACTCGATTTGGCCTTTTCTTTGCCTTTATCTTCTTCGCCTTTGTAGTACCCATCGCCCCAGCCCAAGACGGTGGCGCCGGAGCAGTCATACGAAGACTGCCAGAAGATAGCGTAAGTCCAGCTCTCCTGAGCGCCTTCAATCAAAGCTTGGAGGCGCTGCTGGAGAGTCTCCTGGTTGAAAACCGCCATAGACGACGGCGGTAACGATTGACCGACACCTTTACTCGGGTCCGACGCAGCAGAAACAGAGGCATACGGCTGCTGAGGAAGTTGCTGTTGCTGTTGCTGTGGCTGCGGCGGCGTAACCCAAAAGGAATTCAGATCGGTGCTCATAAATGCGTCCATCATCGACGCGTTCTCATCCGCCCAGAAATTCATGACCGATGGTAATCGGCAGTCCGTCATTCCATACACTGAGAGGTGTTCAATCCGGTGGAGAAGTGATGAGTTACCGTACGGTTCGAAAATTCGCGGCGGAGGCGAAAGGTGGAATTGATGCAACTGAGATTAACATTTATTTGAAATGCATTTAGGTTGAATTTCAATTTTAGAGAGAGAAAAACAATGTAGGAGGAAAGCGAGTGGAGGAGAGAGACAGAGCGACCAAAAGCGGAAGCTGAAAGAATGAATCGCCGATTAAATCGGGGAAGTAGCCAGGAGTGGAAAAAGCTAGTTGAGTTTAACTCGGAACTCTCCACCTATCAACACAACACTTTGGTTTCTCTATACTTTCCATTTCCATTTTCCTTGATCTTACAATTTTATTTTTTAAAAATATTTATAGAAATACATTAACTTTAACAAATAATACTAGAAATTAAAAAAATAAAAAATAAAAAAAGTTCCCGATGCCCAACTCAAAAGAATATAAAGAAAAAAAAAAAGCAATATTTAAAAATTACAAGTGGGATTGGAGCTTAATGGATTTATTATTATTGAAAAAATAATTTAAAAAAGGTAATTAAACAAAATTCAAAAAGCGCATTCAAAGAGCTCCTCAAAATATTCCAAAATGGGTAATAAAGAATGAGGGAAATAAGCATCTAAGGGGGAAAAAAGAACCAAAAAGTAAAAGGCTTGTCATATCATATCCAAAAGAATAAATAATTAATTAATTAATTAACAAAAAAAAAAACAGTAAATAATTAATGTAAATACTCGGCAGCCTACATGTTGCAAATGCAAATAATCGCGCGTTCATTTATTTTATTCCTTTAAAAAGCGTAGCTAATTCTCAATCTCTGTTTTTCTCTTAAATTTCAACCTCCGCTTTTAACTTATTCAAAATTCTAAATTATAGCGGAAGATGGGAAACAATGACACAATTTAAAGAAATTAAATAAATAAATAAATAAATGAAGGGAGGAGAGATAAAAGTAAGTCGCCAAGCTGTCATCACAGACAGGGAATCCCATTCCCTGATTGGTCCGTCGCGTTTAGACTCTGAACAAATCGGAAAATTATATTTTTATTTAAAATAAAAAAATTTATAATTAATTTAAAGAGTCACGTTTTTTCCAAGCTTTCCGTCTCAGGGATGAAAACAACCCCCTCCATGCTAACACACGTTTGTTTTCCACTTGCCCCCATGTGATAAAACTGACCCCAATATTTCTTTTTCTACCACTTATTTTTTTGGTTTTTACGAAAACTCCCCATTTTTTCATTTATATTAATTACACAAATTCCCCTACTTTTACTCAAATATGTCTTCACACCCGCTCCACCACGCAACCTCTTGCGGAATAATTACGTTGGTTAAATTCCTTCAATTAATTATTATTATTTTTACCATTTTAATTCCCATATATATCTACCCCTTAATTTCCTCTATTCTTTTTAAAAGGTACAAAAATTATTTATTATATTTACTTTTAATTATATTTAATAGGTTGGTTTACAAAATTAGAATTAAATAATCATTTTTTTACCCAATATAATCTTCCTTCCTTGTTTAACCTAAAAGGTAACTTTTGTCCCCTATCCCCCAATAAATAAATAAATAAAAACAAACTTAGGTTAATTTGGGGTTAGCTCAAATAATCTCTATCACCAAGAAAGATGAAGCTCATCTTTACTTCATCTTAAAGATAACGACATTATTTAATATTTTAAATCTGAACTTTAAATTTAAAATTAATAATGGTGGATGCATATCTTAGAAATATCTATTAAAATGAAATATGTAAAATATGTTTTTTAATTTAAAATTAATCAAATACCGTATCTTTACACCCTCGCGATTCCTTTAATCATCACAAACAAATAAATCGGCTCATAAAACTAAAATAATAAACATGAGTATTGTGATCAGTAACTTTCTATAAAACAGTTGTAGGATCAAATTCTTACCTACTTCAAACATTTTAAATTATAAACACAAATTTTATTTAAAATTAAGTTGAAAGGATCTAGAATTCATAACTATAAATTATGTGATCAATCATTTTGAAAGGTGTCTTGGAGTCGCTTAACCATCAATATTGTAATTAGGTGGGACGTTAAGGATATTTTTGAAGTATTAGTAAATTTTAAGAATAAAATACAAGTTTTGTTTTGTTTTTTTTTATTTTTTAAGGAAAAAAAGTTGATTTTCTTAAGGATTAATTGAAATTTAAAAGCCCCTGGAGAGGGCGAATGTGATGCCAAAAAAGCCAATTGTCTTTTTGCTTAAAAAAAAAGTTTTATTGTTAATTTATTTAATATTTGGTGGGAGCAAGCATCACACGTTTTTCATGCTGTTAGGGTTTCAGCTGGCCACGTCATCCATTGCCCTTTTATTTATCGTCATTTTAACCATAACAATTTATCCCACTAAACACCTAAATCTAGTACCTACATGAAGTGCTAGCAGTATATGGACATACCTAACCACATCCCCTATTATTATTATTATTATTATTATTATTATTATTATTATTATTATTATTATTATTCATAAAATTCAAATTTTTAATATTAAAAATAGTTTATATTTAGTTTAATTTTTTGTTATGATTATAAAGTTTTCAATTTTAAAGTGGTGAATTTACGGAATACTTTTTTTAATCGTACTCGATGGGAATGAGCGGAAGGACAAAATGGTAATTTAACTCGAACAAAATGGAATGAAAGGGGTTGTTAAGCGTTGGGTGGGGGAATGAATAAAGACGAGCAAATTGCAGGGTTTGGATTGAAGCAGGCAAGAAGGAAGAAGATGGCACACAGCCTATGCAAGTGGGCCTTTGATGTGTCTCTATCCTCCATATATCAGGGCCGTTCATTTGTGGGCCAGGGCCATCGTTGATGGGCCTCTTCTTCAGCCTCATTTCATTCTCACCCGTCATCATTATACTCAATTATTTGCCTTTTTCTTTTTTTTTTCTTTTTTTAAATTAAAAAAATTGATATATTTTTATTCTCTTTCCAAAAACTCCAATTTTCCTTGTCCCCACTCAAAATATATACGTATTGTTTAGTGACATATGCTACAAATATGTTTTATTATTTTCTTTCTTTTTTTGGAGTATTCACATACAAAATTCACAGTATTTTTTCTAATGAATTTGAAAAATAGTGACGAGAAATTCTCAAATAATTTAAATTTTAAATATTCAAATTCTTTCTATTGAACTAAAAAAACTATTTCAACTATAAATACTGTTAACAAAATATTGTTTGCGCCAAAAAGGATCCCACTTGCCAACCTAAGTCAAGTCTATCCTCTGTTTCGTGGTTTCCCTCGAAATGCTTTTTTTTTTTTTTTTTTTTTTTTTTTTTTTTTTTTGTCGGATTTGAGTGTTTTTATGGCTAGATTTTGAACACTTTATTAGTTAGATAATATTTTTAGTTAAATTTTGAAAATTTTATTTCCTACTTATTTATTGAAAGCATATAGACACGTGTGTCTTTCTTTTTTGTTTTTACAATTATTAATTCTTGTTTGTTTGTTTGTTTTTTTGTCATTTGGGACAAAGTTTATTTTTTTTATTTTTATTATTATTAAAATTTGCATGCTTCCAAGCAACTGTTCTGGTGTGGCAGTGAGTTAATAAAGATAAGATGGGAACTATTTTTCCTATTGAAATAAATATTTCATATTCCATTATCTTTTTCTTAAATTAAAAAAAAAAAAAAAAAACTATTTTTTAGGACCATTTTTTTCCTCAATTATTGGAATGAAACACGTGATTTCCAATCATTAAATTTTTCTTAGCAACTTCTAAACTAATTATGCAATCATTAATCTGATTTACATCTTAACGCCTAATTTTATTCCCAATAATAATAATAATGAAACATTCTCGATTTTGTGCCAAGGTTAGTCGAGTTTCTAACATTAATGTACATGCCATAATCACCATGACCAGCTAAAGCTCAAGTTTTGTGTTTTGGTGTTGGGCCTCATTGGCCCAAAGAAATTCCTTATACAGACTAACATAACACAACCCAGGCCCAAATACCAGGCTGTCGGCCCACTTCTCTGTTGGTGGCGGGGGTTAAAATTATTTTTACTTTCAATCTCAAATATTAATATTTTAAACTAAAAAAAAAAAAAAAAAAAAAAAAAAAAAAAAAAAAATCAAAGGGGANGAATTAAGCGGTAAATTTTGATCATATGAGTTCCCATTCAACAATAATCAATCAATCTTTGAATATTTTGGAGCAATGAGCAATTTGATTCAAGAATCAGCAGAACCCCAAAACCCAGAACAACAGCATTTCGATTCCCGCTTCTCCACTCTCTGCCTCAACCCCGGCGGCACCCACCACCGCCGTCCTCCACTCTGTTCTTCATGCGGCCGCCGTCCACCTCGCTGCGCTGCCACACACAAGAAACGACGCTCCCCAACGCAGATTCAAGACCCCACAGCCACCACCAAGAAGCACCTTCTTGATCCTAAACAACACAATCTCACTTCCTTCTCCAAGATCGATCTCCCAATCCCCTTCGGCCCTTCCTCGGCCCATCCCACTCCCTTCTCCCCTCTCTCCCGCTCTGTTTCCGACCCCACCGAAGCTCGTAATTTCTCCCCTCCGTCGCCAGCCAAGCGCTTATGTCCCAACTCGGCGCTCCCGCCGCTGCCCCTCCGGCGTACGGTTTCAGACCCGACCCCCTCCACTGACAAAACCTCCGTATCCCCTCTTACAATTGGGAGAGTGAATGATTCGATCAAAGAAGACAGCCCCGATTCAAAGGTTCCTTTTTCTTGTTTTTGTTAATGCCCTATAATTCAAACCTTATTTTGGGGAATTTTAATGGCAGAGGCTGAGAAAAATCAAGGATCGACTGAAGGAGATGAATGAATGGTGGAACGAAGTGATGAGTGAACAAGAACACGAAGAGGAAAAAAGGGATGAAAATGAGACCAAAAAGGTACGATTTTTAGAAACAAGAATGTTGGTATTCTTCCTTTTTGCTGTCAATTAAGGATGTTTTTTTTTTTTTTTTTTTTTTTTTT